AGTTCTCAACATTTTCAAGTCGCAACCGCCCAAACAGTCAGGATACTGTAAACTGCCCCACATTCAGTGTTCTGGGATACACTTCATGCTGGCAATCGGTTTAATACTTTTTGGCGTCTAAGCAGTTCGACGTATGACCATTTTCAAATGTTAGGAGTATGTTCTCTACACCAGTGTTTCCCAACCGGGGGTACGCGTACCCCTAGTGGTACGTGGGTGGTCCCCAGGGGGTACATGAAAAGATTTTGAAAAAAAATAATAATAATAATTTGATTTTAGATTTTTTTTTATTAAAATGTTTACAGGAAAACTGTACCCAAATAATGAATAATGCATAATCTGTAATAATGTAACCAAAATTGGGGGTATTCAAATTAAGTAATAATTTGCTGGCTATATATTATTATTGGCGCAGCGTTCAGCTTCCCGCCGGACTGTCAGGTGTTACATCATCATCATCATTGTAGTGGCGCACTGGTTTTCTTGCTAGCTAGCAAAATATCAACATCCTATCAAGTGAATGCGCTGGTGTTTATTGAGATCAACATTTCTGTTAACATAATCATTATGGATCAATGGCTGAGTCGAGCTGGTTCATCCAGAAACAACAGCACAGGTGATACTGCTGAATCAGGAGAACCCGTTCTCAAGAACATGAAAACAGAGAAGGTGAAGAATCGTCAGTTTGGTGAACATTATGTGCTCTCCGGGTTTACGGTCACAACTACAGAGCCACCGCAGCCAATGTGTTTCATCTGTGGCGACGTGCTTTCTAATAATAGCATGAAACCATCCCATTTACATCGGCACCTTAGTACTAGACATCCCGCCTGTGTGGGTAAGCCTGCAGAGTTTTTCCACCAAAAGCTGGCTGAATTGAAGGGAAGCCAAGAAAAACTAAAGAAAGCGACATCGGTCTCAACCAAGGCCTTGGTGTCGCTACTCGTTGCTAAATCGAAAAAGCCATTTACCATAGCCGAAGAGCTAATCTTGCCTGCTGCTATAATTCTCGCAGAAACTATGCTCGATAAGAAAGCAGCTGATGTCCTGAAGAAAGTGCCGTTGTCAAATAATACTGTGTGCCATCGGATCGACGACATGGGAATTGACATTATTGACCAAGTGGTGGAAAAATGTAAGGCGTCTGGTATGTTCGCTTTGCAGTTGGACGAATCAACGGATGTCAGTAGGGAAGCACCACTGATTGCGTTTGTGCGTTACAAAGACACTTTGGAGATAAACGAGCACATTCTGTTTTGCAAGAAACTCACGGGGAGAACTACCGGACAGGACGTTTTTAACGTTATTTACCATTTTTTCTCTCAACACAAGCTGGATTGGAAATCCTGCTCTCATGTGTGCACAGACGGCGCTGCGGCGATGACCGGCAGAGTAAATGGATTAATGGCCCACATAAAAAAGGTAAACCCTGACGTTACATGGACGCACTGCATGATTCACCGAGAAGCATTAGCTAGCAAGAGAATGAATCCAGAGTTGAACGATGTTTTGAATGATGCCGTAAAAGTGATCAACTTCATACAGTCCAGGCCTTTGAATCATAGACTGTTTCAGTCACTTTGTGAAGACGGTGGGTCAGAACATAAACAGCTCCTGCTTCACACTGACGTCCGCATGGTTATCCCGAGGGAAGACGTTACAGCGGCTGTTCGAGCTACGCAATGAAGTGAGGGCATTTCTGTCGGAGCACACACACCCACTTGTGGCTATGTTCGACGACGCTGACTGGGTAGCTCGGCTGGGATACCTCTCTGATATTTTCAGCAAACTCAACCAGCTGAATCTCTCTCTTCAAGGTAAAGACACAAATGTTCTTAGCTTGTATGACAAAGTGTGTGGATTCATGGAGAAGATCAAGCTCTGGCAGAGCAAATGTGAAAAAAGGGATACAAGTTGTTTCCTGCAGCTGAACGCATACATTGCTACTGGTGAATGTGACAGAGCTCCAATTGTGAAAATAGTACACACACATTTGTCCAAGCTCAAGAATGAGTTCAACTCCTACTTCCCTGATATTGACAACAAGTCATCCACACTGGACTGGGTGCGTAATCCATTTGTGACGTGCATTAACAGCAGCATTCCCGCCAGACTGCAAGAAGACCTCATAGATGTGTCCTCAGATAGAAGCCTGAAGAAGAGGTACTCAAGCACACCACTGACACAGTTCTGGTGTGGTGTGGAGAAGGAGCATCCTGAATTGGGGAAACATGCCCTGAATGAATTGTTGCCTTTTGGGTCCACATACCTGTGTGAGGTGACATTCTCCGCCATGACCCACATCAAGACTAAACACAGGAACAGACTCAACTTGGAGAATAACCTGGTCACAGCTGTTGCAACAATCTCTCCCAGACTCACAAAACTGATGAGGGAGAAACAGGCTCAAGTGTCACATTAATTGGTGAGTTACCTTACTTTTTTTTAAAAAGTCTTTAAACAATGGCTATTATAATGTATATGATTAGTTATGATTGAATATGATTTAAGTGTCACATTAATTGTCGCATTGGGTCACACAGACAAAAATATCCTCCTCTTCTCTATCTCTCCTCGTCACTTCTCTCCTTCTTCCACTCCCAGGTTTCACCTTAGCTACACACAGGGCCGTATCCAGGCCCCGCCCCGGGTCTGATATGTGCTGCTACTGCACACACACACACACACACACACACACACACACACACACACACACACACACACACACACACACACACACACACACACACACACACACACACACACACACACACACACACACACACACACACACACACACACACACACACACACACACACACACACACACACACACACACACACACACACACACACACACACACACACACACACACACACACACGCAGACACACACACACATTTGATTATTACGGTATATGGTTATTATATCCCTCTCACATTTTTCTCATCTTTTTATATTCAGATCTAATTCTATATTTCTTTCTTTCTTTCTGCTATTACCCTGCCCATACCTATACCCCCTCCCCCATGCTGCTATGACACCCACATTTACCCAAGGGGATCAATAAAGGAATATCTCATCTGATTGTATCATATCGTATCGCATCGTATCTCATCTTATCTTAGTTTTGTAGCAGATTCTTCAGTGCTTTGTTAACTTAATGTTACAATGGGAATGAAGTGATGATGTCAGACCTCAGAACTAAAGCTTTAATTCAATAAACTGCCAACCTGTGTGACCATGTGACTTTATCCAGGTCATCCACACACACACACACACACACACACACACACACACACACACACACACACCACACACACACACACACACACACACACACACACACACACACACACACACACACACACACACACACAGCCAGTCTGCCACAATATATAGACTATTAATATATCCTGGGATCACCACGATTGATTGCGTAGTAGGGGGTACTTTAGGTTGGCTTGAAATGCTTTGGGGGTACAGTACACAAAAAAGGTTGGGAACCACTGCTCTACACGCTTGGAAAAGTATTTGGAATCTGTTATCTGGAATCTTGCCACTAGATGCCACTTAATCCTACACACTGCTCCCTTCAGTCTAAAGATTTTCTAAATAACATATTTAAATGTTGTTGATGAGCTAAAACAATAACTTGCTGTCTAAAAAGATCTGTGTTGACACATTGATGGGTGAGACCATCTTAATACTACACTGTATTATTCGCTCTGCCATTTAGAACCATGCTTGGTGCAGGCCAACAATAGCTCTGGGACAGTGTGCATTATGCAACCACAGTTCAGTGTCTCTATCCGTGCCACCACATGGGCCTGTAATCCACTTGAAACAAACCAGCGCGAGGATGTCTGATCCTCCACAGCACAGTCAACATGATTATCTCACGTTATACAGTGTGCAACATACTCCAAAAGAAAGAAAGAGTCATCTGTAATTTTGTCACTGTGAATCAATACAATGTGTCGACATGCAAAAGCATAACTTCCTACATAGAAGCAAGATAAACTGAACCTTTACTTGTTTAGCCTCTATGTTTCGTCCCTTTCTGAAATGACTTTATGTTTCTAGTTGTTTTTTGTGGTCTTTTTGAGTCTTGATTGTGGTAATGTGGACCGTCATTTGAGTCTCTTTGTATTTCTTTGCAGTTGTTTGCCTCTGTAGTTTTTAATCCTCTTTGTAGTCTTGTTGTGTTTTGATTGTGCTTTCTTTGGATTTGTTTTGTGTCTCTTTGTGGTCATTTTAAGCCTCTCTATAATCATTTTGAGTCTTGGTAGTTGATTTGAGCCTCTTAGTCTCTTTGCAGCTGTTTTGCCTTCCTTGTAGTTCTTTGGTCTTCGAGGCTTTATTGCCATGTGCACAGTAGCTACAGTGTAGATATGGCAATGACAAGCTTAAGTCACAGGCTCCTCCAACAATGCAACATCAATATATAAAGGACATAAAACAAATAAAATAGTTATAGAGAATGTTTTTGAGATGTGCAAGTCAATACAAAAAAAATAGAAAGTCTATATACACGCAAATGTAATGTGATTTATAGATAAATAATTTGCAAGATGCACAGATTGATGTTTATGGATGTTCTTTAAAAAGTTCAGGTGTTTAATAGTGTTATGGCCAGGCATGGTATAATTCTTGGTGATTTTGTAAATGAAAGCTAGGGGTGTCGCTGGGTCTGTGCCTGGTCTGTGCCCGGTCTGTGCCCGGTCTGTGCCCGGTCTGTGCCCGGTCTGTGCCCGGTCTGTGCCCGGTCTGTGCCCGGTCTGTGCCCGGTCTGTGCCCGGTCTGTGCCCGGTCTGTGCCCGGTCTGTGCCCGGTCTGTGCCCGGTCTGTGCCCGGTCTGTCCATTCATTGACTGGTTAAAGAATGCTTGTGCAAAACTCACAGCAAACCCATGGGTGTAATATCTCCATGTGGCCGGCAGGGGGGGTGCTAGTGTCCTGGTTTTGGAAAGGGGGGTGTCCTCTCTGCAATCAGCATTGGACAGCAGCTGAGCTGAGTGCTCCTCCTCGCTTCAATCATTTTCAAAACCTGCTCGAAACCCACGAACACGCATTCATTTACCTGCTGCTAATAGCCAAGAGAAGATGTTCTGCAGACGGGCATTGCAGAGAGTCGGGCCGCTGGCACGGAGGGCTTTCGCACCAACATCCAGAAATGGTAAGTAGCTCCAAGATTGTCATTTCATGTTCATTCTGAATGGAGTTTACAGGATTTGCTATAAAATGTGTAGAAGTAAAATCTAAAGGCCTGTTTTATGCGTGTACCAGCTTTTCTGGATTAAAATGAATTGATTTATTTAAACGTGTTCTGAATGACTGTCTCCAAGTCAAACAGTTGAAAACGTGGTTAAACATACATGTACAGAGTTAACACATTTAAATAAGTTACATTTGCAGTAAGGATTCCTTTTTTAAATCTTGACAATTTTAGTAAAAGTCTCATAAATAGGTCTATTAATTCTTAGGGTTTCCATTGTGCAGAGCAGCAGTGGGAGGAGGTGTGTCCTGCTTTGGGAACACACCGTTCTTCCACTCTCTGGTTATGAAAGAGCGACAAGAATGATTTGGTGATTCAACGTTAAATAACCAAGTTGCATCAAGTGCACTACATTTTTTTTAAACATGAAGTCAATCATCAAGCATTTAGTGAAGTGTTTGCAAAGGAATAACGAGTTATTAGTTTTTCTTTGTCCTGTTTACATGTTGTCCTAGGACTTTTTCAAGTGGCCAAATGGAGTTCAGCTATATGCATACGTTCAACCCCTCCTAAAAAGCATATCATGGGGGGGAAAAACGCCCAAAAACTACAATTGAATGCCAATAACCTTTTGCATTCAAAAACTTGATTCAACATGGACATTTATTTTGCCAATGCATTTGTATTTTTAAATCTCACTCAAAGTGGTTCTATGTTAAGTTGAAGAGAATTTAAGGCTGTAAATGTCATGACTTTCTCTTTTCACGAGTCCTTGCCCTAGATAATCCTTTAACTTTGGGATCTGAGCTTGTGGAATTTAGCCTGAGGTCAAACTGCTGCTTTAATTTCCTGTATTGAAAACCAAACACATTTCTGCTCAAAGCTATAGCACACAAGATAAATTGTAACAGCAACCTGCAACAGTTAGTTGTATCTTGATGGCTGAATTGTGCAAAAGTTAAACTAAAACTTCATGTCTGACAGGGCCAAACTTTGACCTGGTTGTCCTACGGGTCTGCATAACCATACCCCTCCCCCATGTCTGAGCACATGTCAGCTGAAAGACCATAGCAGGGGTGCAACATGCATGTGGAGTCAACCCATGTCACCATCTTGTGTGTTGTTGCCTGATGAGTGTGTCCATTTTTCTTACAGGCTTGAACCTCTGCAGGGATTAACTGATTACCTGTATAAATAACCTGTACTTGGCTTTCACCCTTCATGACGCGAAGTGTCATCGGTATTAGAGGACTTACTGTTACATTGGCTCAGTATCCACAACAGGACAATGTCCGGCTCTGTTTTTGTTTGTTCTACTTGTTTTAATGTATCTGTAGATTTATTTGTGGCTATTGATTCCTGATCAATTGTTAAAAGAGTTGGCATTATCTATGAGAGGAATCAATAGTCACAGAGACACTATTGAAAGGAATACAATCTTGATTTCCATCTATCATCACTTTTAATTTAAGTGGTAGCCTATTTCAAGGAATACGTTTCTTGGGCCAGCAACCAATCATGCTAGCTTGGCACAAAATAAATGAGAACTTTGGTTAACGGTAGCAATATTTGCCATGGGGAACTTCTAATGCTAACTAACATGTGTATATTTTATCCCTTTTTTTTTCTTTTTTTTTAAACTGCCAAGAAATTGTTTGTCCCATAACCATCAATTAAAGTTTGTTTTTCTTGTAAGTAGGCCTAAATAAAATAATTAGTGGTGCTGGTAGGTTCATTTTTTTCTCTCTTTGCACAGAGCTAGACTAGCTAGTTTCCCCCTGGTTTCCAGTCTGCATGTTAGGCTAGGCTAACTGGTTGCAGGCTTTAGCAGATGGTTGTACAAGGAAGCAAGTTTGACAAAGCGTGGCTTTCTTTGCATTTGATGGCCTGACATAGCATAAAGCCCCAATATGTGTGGTACCACGACAGCGGTTATTGAGGGAAGCGGCAGATTTGGGTATCAATTCTTTGTAGGTAATTCTGAGGAGCGACTCCATCCCTATTGTTTCCACATCGTCATTATGTTACCATGACCTATTAAATAAAGGGAAAATGTAACCGATTAATAGTTATTAGTAATGCGCTAAGAAAATTACCTTTTGCCAACACCAACATCTGTAGGCCTATATATCTTTTTTTAATGAATCATTCAAGCTGAATTAAGGTCGGAGGTCATCTTTAATACTAAATCTTTAATTGTTTAAACCAATTCAAATCATCTGTACCTCTTTGACCGGCTATAGTGACTGCAACAGGGGAAGGATTATCTGAATGTAAATGTGTAGAGTCATTGGGAAAGTCATAGGAAGAGTTATGATTTGACACACATGGGAAGGACGAAAAGGGGCGTGCTGGGCTGTACATTGTGTTCTTTCACCGCTTCAGATGGCCTACTCGGGTTGCTGGATAAACCACATGCATGTGCACACACAGAGGGCGTGAATCATGCTTGAGTTAATGTATGTACTGTAGCTGTGTGCACGTACGCTCTTGGTATGTGTGAGATCTAGGTAGAAAGAGATTAGGCTGAGGCAGTGTTTGGGATGCAGGGTGGTTTTATTTACAACCTTCTCTGCATGCACCACTGTCAATCCTTTTAAAACGCAAGCAAATCTTTTACCGGCTGCAGCAATCACCACCACAAATAGCCTATTAAGAAGCATTTAGTAACGCTTGACATGCGTGTCAAAGGACTTATCCACATGACTTGAAGCCCTTTAGATAATTAAATGTTTCTTTTTGAGGAAATTCTTAGATTGTGAAACGGGAAGTGTTTTCTTTGTGGAATTAACTTAAAGGACAATTTGGTGTTTAACCAGGCTGCTGCCAAATCTTTTCAACTCCTCTTCTAATGACCAGGGCCATATTGTGTAACTGGATTAAGGGATAGGGACATGTTGACGCTGTCGGAAAGGCACTAGACTTTGTGCCAAGTCTAACTTCTGATGGCAGAGTTGCCTCAATAACGACCACATGTTTATTGTAGTTTCTCTTTGATTATAATTTCTTGACGTGCTCATTTTGTATCAAGTGACAAAAAGCAAATGCCATTTATATGTTCAACTAGTGGTTAAGTAAAGTGCATGCACTCCATCCAATATTACGGTTGATTCTTTAATATATAAACTCCAAAAGTAAAATGTTTGCTTTCGGCTTCCATCATGTTTCTAAGCTAACCCTGTACCTCTGCCTTCTTGTGTTTCTCAGCAGCTCCTGTGCGGCACATGGCCTTCGGGGTCCCCGGGGGCTCCAGCAACATGGCATACATTGTCCTGTGTGGAGGGAGGCCTCACTGCTGCAGTCGTCTATGTGAGTATCTGTGTGAGATTCCTCCACTCTAACTGCCTGGTCTGCATTTTTGTGGGTCGGCTATTTATTTTTATTTTTTAAAGTGCCGTTTCACACAAAATCTGTCCTCTCATTATCAGTGCTGAGTGTAATTCAAAGATTTTGAAGGAATATTGAGTGATTTCTAGAGGGTAATAACTTTGTCCCTTTTCTACGTATGACCTTGTTTTATTAGTTACAGGACAAGTATACATGCTATAACATACATGTGTGTTTCCCAATGCCAAGCATGGGTAGAATCCACGTGACTCTTGGCACCTGTACGGTGCACTCAAAACATTTAAAAGGTTGAGTGTGGAATGCTAGACACTTTTCACATTCAACAATCGCCATCTTGGCTAATGGAAGTTGCAGTCGTTAATCATTTGCTACTGCAAATTATAGCTTGCTAGTTAGCAACGAGTGTCAGTTTCTGCAGGGCACAGCAGCCTTGTGCCGTTTGAACCACACAAGTCATACACTGCAAGTGTTTAAAGTGTACAACATGGTAGTGTACTAAGGAGAGTACATTACTTTGAGATACAACATATGTGGCTGCATAGGATTGATTTAAAAGTATACCAATTTATTCAATTGAAGTTCTTCTTGAACCTAACATTTTTTTAATTTGAAGTCACACATTCTGACAAACATTGAAAGCTTAGTTCAAACCACAATAGATGTAATTAAATAAACAAGGTACAACAATCCAAAGTGATGTGGTTTCTTGGCTGGTGTATACTGAGAGCCAGTAACATGCATCATCAGACTAAAACTGTGGAGCAGACATCGCCACAACTCTGACAATGGAAGGGACATAGAACGTTCTTTGTGCATTCTACACACAGTAAACAAGTCTGCGCCCCAAGGCAACAACTAGCAGGCTCTTTGCAAAACACAAGTGTATATCAGCTTTTGTGTTTATGTTAGACAAAATGTCAGTTTAATCTTTTTTGCTTTAATAATTTGCCTTGTTGGAATCTAATGCTTGCATATCTGCCCTCTTTCTATCAGGCCTACAAGACAGTCAATGGTGGTGTTGAGGAAAAAGTCGTCAGCGTTGAATCGACAGCAAAGGGTCAGTTGTGCACAAACACACCTTACCAATACTCAACTTCCTTAGGTTGTATATCCAAATAGTTCTACAAGAAGTTGTATAAAAACATGCATATCTCGTAACATGCACAAGTACATTTCAAACAATGACTAGAGTTAATCCCAATTAATCTTATGTCCACATGAATAGAGTATTTGTAGGCAACGTGAATAGATATTGGCATCGGAAGCAATCATGTTTACGTTTGGTCAATATTACCTCACTGGACTACAATCACTTAAAGCGTACTTTAGTTTAGAAAACTGGCTTATCTACTCAGGTTTTAGACTTCATCTACATTCTTATATCTCAAGTTGCTATTGGACAGTATACGATGACTGGTGCAAAAATGAAGGTCCTCTAGATATCTGCTGGCTACACCCCCAAAATATTGACAGTTGCCTGCAGAGGCTCATTGTCGTTGAATTAATAGCTAATGGATTCTGAAACTAGTCTCCAACAAACTCCTTGATTACTGCATTAAATGATCATGTTACGCAGAGATGTTCACCATAAAAGTTTAGTCTGTTGGCACTAAGCTTAAAGTACATCAGTTTTGCAAGTATTTGATCAGTCGCAAATGATTGGATACATTTTTTTACCTGATCTAGTGAGTCCTTTTTGGAAAGACAATCTTCATCGTCCCTTAAGAATTAATTAATTTGAAAAGACTAGACTAAGATGACCAACTGCGTAATCACACAACTGTGGATGGAATTGCCGTGTATCCTTGAGGTATTGACTGAAATAACCCAGGACAAAAAAAAACTTTGGACTCAATAATATCTATCGTATAATGTGATAAAGGGAGTTTAATTTTGCTCAAGAACATGTACCGAGTACTTTAAGAACTGCTGTTCTGAGATATGGAAGGCAAAATAAGGCAGATCTTGCTGCATTTCCGAGTTGGTTCTGGCTTCACCGCCCACATATCAAACATGGTTGCATGATCACTCTCAATAGCTTGATCTTGCCTGTCTGCTTTGATTTCTGTCTGAGATTGATTTGTCTATTCAGCCGGTACGAGCATGGATAGAGTGGCTCAGCGCCTAGAGCAGCAAACCATCCTCTAATGTGGAAAAGCTTTCTCTGTTCCGGTTGTGTTCATGCAGCCTGGAAATGTTTTGTTTTTGGTCAAAGTATAAAGTTCCGCTCCATCCAGCACCAGAGAATGAACTGTTATGGCTTTAAACTGGGTTTGTATCACATTATGTAATGGATGTCTTGGAAACAGAGTCGCACAAACCTCTCGATGCAGATTCAAGTGATTGTGATCAACATCAACTTGTGCTGACACGTAGATCTGAGTACACATCACTGAGTGTCATTACAGTGTCATTTAGTTGGGTGGTTTGCAGGGCTCTCGACTAACTTTTTTCCCCATCCTCCCGGAACCGTCCCGAAATACAATCTAAGCCGTCCCGAAATTAATGTGGACCGTCCCGAATTAAAAAATGTTAGTTTTTCTACATTATCATTAGTTAAAATCATTCAAAGTGACCTTTAACATAAATAAAACATCATACAAATCATTAGATGATAATTCATCAACCTTTTTATTTGAGTAAATCATTCAATCACATAAACAAAGGCCAAATATATTTAAACAAACACACACACGAGAAAATTACTCTAATATTGAATCAAGTCCCATCCAATTAACCAAACAATCCAACACTCTGTCCTGAAGACAGAACCCAGAGTAACCACTAACCAGGATGACAGTCTGTCAGTCAGGAGACCTTTACAAACGGCCCCGCCCCCTCGCACACAGACGGGAGAGAGAGATCTCGTCTGGATTGGAAAGCTCGAAAATACATCATAGACGCATGTTGTAGTCTTATTGCATATTAGAAACGGAGTTGGTGAAACTAAAACCGCGATATAATGTGTATGTAGCAATAATTCATGACATATTTTTTAAATGTCTCCAGTACCGATAAGTCTGAAAACGTCGGAGCTTAACGTTACCACTGTCTTTAATAATTCCGGCCCGGGGCCCGTTTAATACCGGGGCTCAGTACCCATCCCTACATGGGGAGAGGCGCAGCATATTGCTAAGGACTAAATACGATGGAGGGTTCTCTTCTCAGCCTTATTACCCATAGGGGATGAAGAGGAGTAAGTAAATAAAGAGGCCGGCGCTCCAGGGTCTGGTTCTGCTGTGCGTTTTTGTGATTAACGGTTAAACATTTCAGAATGCCTCTACGGGATGCCATTGTACATCACTCAACCCGCGAAATACACACACTCAGTACATAGCTAGACCCGCAAATTTGTGGGCCAGGAATCCGCGGGCACAGCCAGCTGGGCGGCTGGCTAACAGCCAGCGGCACAGCTGTAGCTACATGTGTGTGTATTTCGCGGGTTTCTAAATGTTTTGTGTGTGTTTATGTTGACAAGGAGGTTTAATAACTGTGCTACACAAAACGTGCAGTCGGTTTCATTTTCATCGCCGTTTGTAGTAGAGTTAGCAGGGTATTTTTATTTTAACTCTCGTCCCAAATTCGTCCCAAAATTATTTTTCATCCTCCCCGACACTATTTTTTTCGACGACGGGACGTCCTTAAGCTCGAGCCCTGGTGGTTTGGCTGCATGTGGAAACTCACCTTGGCCACATTTTAACTATTTCAATTTATTTATTTTTTAGCATTTGCACTACTTGAGGCAAATGAGGATAAAAATAAGTTATTTAATTCCAATATTTTTTAGAATTTTAAATTATCATACTACATACTAATTATAAATTAGTATGTATGAGCTAAAATTAAACAGTTTCTTAAAAAGACCTTCAGTGAGGTCATCACCTGTTGGGCTTAAGGATTACCTTTCACTTACAACACACCGCTTTGCTTTTTAAGACCTAAAAATACCTACAAGACCGATAACTAATTTATTTATAATTATAAATCAATTATAATTGCAAATAATCCAGAGATCTTTTACACAAAATTGTTTTGGTGACACCCATAACAATAATGAAGTGTTTATAAAAAATTGTTTTTCTCTCACTCTATCTGCAGCTCCCTCGGCAGAGCTAGCAGCAGAAGTAACAGCCCCCGCTGCTGAGCCCGCCCCAGTGGAGGAGGCTCCAGCTGCAGAGGTGGTGGCAGAAGTCATCACAGAAGCTGTCGCAGAGGTCGTCGCCGCTCCTGCAGAACCAGTGGCAGAGACCGCCGCAGAACCTGCTGTCGAGGCCGCACCTGAAGAAGCCCCCGCTGCAGCTTCTGAGGTCGTCGCCGAGGTGGCAGCTGAGCCTGCAGCTGAGCCTGCAGCTGCAGAAGAAGCCGCGGCTCCTGTTGTGGCCGAGGCTCCTGTGGTGGCCGAGGCTCCTGTGGAAGTCGCCGCTGCTGAGGAGACGCCAGCAGAGGCCCCTGCTGCTGAGGCACCCGTAGAAGAAGCCCCTGTCGCAGAAGCCCCCGCAGTAGAGGCCCCCGGTCGCAGAAGAAGCTCCCGCAGCAGAGAGGCACTGGTACGGCAGCAGTAGATGAAGCCCACCGCTGAGGCAGAGACGGGCTCTGTGGCCCCCGAGGCTGAGGCCGCCCCTGCTGCAGAGTTGGCTGCATAAAGATGTAACGGTGCCATAGTTGCTCCGCGTTAGTTGTGCCGTGTCCCGCCTCTCTGGCCCGGGAAAAAAGGACTCATGAACCACTAGATTTCTCTTCCAGTTGCTCAATAAATTACCATAGAGGTTCATCAGTCCAGTTTTTCAGGTGCCTTCCTTCCCTTACATCACCCCACCTTCTGACCCAAACCAGAACATTCGGCATAAGGCTGTTGAGATTCAGTTTGGAAATACCCATTTCCCATAGGAATTGTTTTTAAATAACAAGAGCAAATGCAATTAATGGTTTGGAAGATGTACAGTTAATGGAAGTGTTGAACCAGGTGATTTAAGGGATAGAAAAGAGTTATGTTTATGTGAATTGGTGTTCTAAAGTGCCCTTAAAACAGGACAGCCTCTTTTATCTAAATATGTCCGCATGGTGAATGAATGTAGTCCATTTGACATATTGTGTAAGTCTCATTCAACATAATTTGCGCTTGGTCTACTCTAAAAAAGACTCACTTACAGCTAAGTCCCATGCCTCATTGCTTATGAAAGGATTATCATGCAAACGGGGAGAAACCCAATTAACGCACATTTAGTTTTGACAGTCTCACATTGCGTTTGACCAAAAAACATTTTGCTCTTTTCCTGGCTGCAGCGCTTGACTAGTTTGCTTCAATTATTTTGCACATCTCCTTTAATTTCTACCCCATTATGATCAGTTTTCTTCTTGCACATTCAAACACACATAATTTGCCAGCCAACTCACGTCTCCTACTTTGTTTTTTGAATGTGAATTTGTTTCAGGGAACACTGCGGAAAATTCATTCACCTGTTTTTGAGCAAGTTGTGATTTATACAGTCGAGTTATTCAAAGAATAAAACATCACTGGATGAGAATTGAGTGTCTCCCTATTGCATTTTTTAAATGACTATATTATGGTTGTGCGGCAAATGTATAGTTTAAACAATTTAGGTTTTATTTGTTTAAGCTTCACATTATTTTGCGTGTTAAATGGGTTGTTCAGAATAATAATTGTATTTGTCCAATGCTTATTTTCGGCATCTCCCTTATCCCATACATCTTGTAGGTGTAGAAACGCCCACTTCCTGTAGAAATGCTTACTTTCCTGGAGAATCCCTGTGCCATGTTCATGCTCCTGTGCCTGTAAGATCAAGCTGAGGGTCACGTTTATTGTTTTTATTCACATTGCTCAAAGTATTTTAAAGAGGCCTCATTATGCGCCTGGGGGTTTCCCTTTCCTGTAGTGTTATATAGGTTTAAGTGCATGTTGATAGTCTGCAAAGGCTAATATCCCAAAGTTTCTCTCTCACACTTGGACAGTAAAGCATGTAAACATGTCACAGTAAAAACAAAAAAGACACAATTGAATCTGAAAATGAGCATAATGGGGCCCCTCAAGAAGTTGCCTGCAGTTATATCTCAGCCGAGGAGGAAGCCATTAATCGCGATGCTTGATCATGAGCTCCTCCAGGAGTAGATATTATACTATTCTTTATGCGCAGTGTTACTTGGTTGGTGGTGTTTTTTTTAAGAAAGACAAGTTACATGAAACTCCTCAAATCAAAGTTTGGATTTATCTATTTTAAACTGGGTCCGGATTTCCGTTAGACATCGCTGCTGAGTTTTTAAATGCAATAATTTGGTGCTTTGAGCATCACAAGCCGAGTGCCATCTAGCCATATTCTATTTGAGAGAAGGCATACATTTCTGCAGCAGATATCCCGAACACCCGGCAGCTCACACCTAAACAATCTACATGAATAAAGAGCACTACAGGTCAAACTAACGAGGGCTGATCTGATTTGTGTGAACTGTCCCTTTTAAGGCTTTTGTATTGAAATTGAGGTCTTTCAATCCAATTCTCTCCAAAAAGAGTTTCATGCATTCACTAAGATATCAAATGTTTGAAGTGCTGTTTTTGTCTAGAAAAGGTTACAGCAGCAGTGTGAACTGGGCAGGTAGTCTCCTGTAGAGTACTCCCTGAACCTGTGGTGACTGTAGACCATGCAGATAGAAAAAATGATCAAGGTAAGTGGAACTCACACAGCAAGCACTTCATATACCAGGATCAGTGCTGCAATGGCCTTCTTCTCGCTGTTCACATTCATTCACAAGGGCTGCAACATAGTCATTTGTATTACTGGTTATTCTGGCATTTACTTTTGCCCAGTAAATTAGAACCCTGACATTCACAATTGAAATTGTACAGCACTGGAACACAGTCAAATGTCAGTTTAGATCATACAACAGTAATCCTGTGTATTATCAGGATTCCAATAAAGGGTAATACATTTATAATAGAACAACTTCACTGCAAATGAGGCTCATTTACGCTCAAATACTAAGAGCTGTTGGAATGTTTGGACATATATTTAAGCAAGTACTTCCTGTCCTTCAGGGTCTTCCCCCGACCGGTTCTCAGCTGTGAAGGTTTGGGCCAGCTCTTCAGTGGAGATCGCAGCGGCTTCTGTTGGGGAGACGCGTCTGGTGCAAGTTGTTCAGAATATAGAGGACATCAAAAGTTTGGAAGCCACACTGGAGGAGGTGAAGCAAGAAGTCCTGGAGACAATCCCAGAGGACATATCTGAAGAGGTATCCGTTGTGGAGAACGAGGAGGAGCTGAAGGCTGCAGAGGTTGGTGCAGAAGATGCTGAAGCTCCTGCTGCTGAGGAGCTGATCCAAGAGGAGACGCCTGCTCCTGTAGAAGCACCAGAGGACGAGGAGGAACCTACAGCTTTAGCAACCACGATGGAGGAGGTGGCTGAGGAACCGGCAGCGGTTGTGGAGGAGGTGGCTGAGGAGGAACCGGCAGCTTTAGCCCCAATGGTGGAGGAGGGTGGCTGAGGAACCGGCAGCGGTTGTGGAGGAGGTGGCTGAGGAGGAACCGGCAGCAGTTGTGGAGGAGGTGAGTGAAGTTGAATTTGAGGAAGCTGCTCCAGAAGAGGACGTCTCCTCCCCAGAACCCTCACCTGAAGATGCGGCTCCAGCTGAGGAAGAAGCTGTACCAAGTGAGGATGCCACCACTGCAGAAGCTGCTCCAGAGGAGGAGACAACGCCTGCTGCTGAGACACCAGTGGAGGAGGAGGAGGCAGCAGCAGCAGCAGCAGCAGAGGAGACAATGGAATCTGAGGAGGCCACAGCAGCAGTGGTGGACACCAGTCAGCTGGCAGCAGCTTACTCCGGGTCGGACCTGGAGGTCCTTCCTGCTGCTGAAGCTGAGTCTACAGTCAGTTCAGAGGCTGCAGAACCAGAGGCAGAGCACTGCCACTCCGCTCCATCCGAAGCGGAGGAGGTGGCGCCACCAGCTGCTTCGGGAGAGCAGCTGTCCAGTGAGGAAGCTGTGGATTTTACACATGACGTAAAGGAAGAAGTGTCCCTGGTGGAAGGACAAGGTAAGAACATACTGTATGAAGTGCTGGTCAGAAGTTTTTGAACACCACATACCTACGTACAGTATGTGTTGTCTATGATGCAGCATGATAGTTACACTTGTTACTTTGTCGATGTATTTAAAGTAAAGAAATGGTATGGAATCAAACCCTATGGAAGCACTGAGAGGCAAATGAGAAAAAATTATTCTGATCTCCACCAATTTGTTTTCTCTCCTTCTTTAATGGTTTTAGAATATATTAAAACACTATTTTCTTTTTCAGATAATCTTTTGAAATCCTTATTATTTTTGTAACAACAGTTCAAATAGTTGGAGAAAGGGGTGAAATATTTTTTTGGCAGGAACATTTAGGACAGAAATAATTTATGTTTTCATCCAGGTGACTTTAAATGTCCAGACACGAGGTACATGAATGGTGTGTTAGCAAGTTATGGAACATTACGGTCTCTCTTTCTTTTGGCTAGAAAACCTGAAAGCCTATTTCGAACATCATGGTGCACTTCAGCCCCTTGTGGCTGATATCAGCATTACAACAATACTTTTGCAATCATCTGTTTTGGAAAATCTACTTCCCCTGAGGCTTGAATAACACGTAACTTTTAAATGTAGACATGTATCCACATGTTTGACAATATATGTATTATACTTATGTAATTGAGTATGATAAGTAGGGTATGGTGAGGAAGAGTTCCCCTCTGAGCTTCCTCACTGTGCTGACACTACAAATTAAAGGAAACTAAATGGCAGCACAAAATCAATAAGCACGGAAGGACCGAAAAGCAAGTGCGTTTTTTCTGGTGATTCATCTTTAAACTGGGATCTAATGTGTGTTTTCTACTTCCCTTGAAATGACTCAATTGCCTTTGAGTGCTTCCGTAGACAGGTATAACTAATACCAATAATGAATCAACTATATTTAAGTGTGTCAGGTTCTGGCTTACTAACATGGCTTGATCACACACTTAAAAGATTCAACCATGGTTTTCAGTTACATCTGTCCTTTCCCTGTTTTGAGAAAATGATGTAAAGGCAGACATGGATTTGTTAGTTTGAAAATAACAAACATTGTCACATTCAATTATCAATAAACGTAATGATTAGTCTCTAATAAATGGGCAACAGGCCACGCCTCCCAAAATAAATTCAGTGTGGAGGATGACAATTTCTTCTGTTGACTTACAACCTGTGTCTTCTTTTTTTAAGCTGACATCTTTATTGATGACATCTTTATAATGAAAGGCTTTAATTTGGAAAACTGAGGACTTTGAATTAGCGGTCTATGAAGACCACCTCATAAAACCAAATGACGTAGAAACATTAGAAACTGAGTTTGCATCATATTCAAACATGTCTACATCATTTGTTTACACATTGCATGCCATTACTCAGAGGTGCACATGTAAGGGACTTACTCAGTAATGCTGCTAGATTGAATTGAATTCAAATACATCTTGAATTGTTGAGAGTCCCATTTACACAATACAAAATAAACTATTATTTAAAAACAAAACAATCGGAGTCTTCCCTGTGTTTGGCTCTGACCACATGTATTTCTGCCTGTATCCACAGAACCAAAGGGGTCTTTCTGGACTGTAAAAAGCTGCTCAGTGATGTAATAGTACAGTTAAAAGGTAAAAAGCAGCACAGCTATAAGAAGAGTAGAGCGACAGTCAGTAGAATGGACATCTCCAGGATATTCTCAGAAAGCCACATTTTTTATGTAATTTATAGAATTTGAAAAAATTAGACTTTAAGAACTAATGTAAAAAGAAAATATGTATCTCTTATTGGAAAGTAAAACAAATGTTTAAAAAGCCCTGATGGAATTGATCCCTTCACTCTATGCTGCTGCCCATGTCCATTCTACTAACTTAAACTATACAACAAGCTGGTAAATGACATAGTCACTTAAACGGAGTGCGTTGATGCCACCATTCAAACTGGTGTTGTGCTTGTGTGTTTCAGCAACAGAGACTATGTTGGTGGTGGCAGCCCAGTCATGACAGACAGAAACACTCGAGCCAGGACCACTGAAGGAAACAGGAGCTGAGCAAACAATGGTTTAACTAGCTAAGGTGTCCTTTATGAAATGTTATCAGAAGTATTTGTATTATGTTACCCATCTGTTTCTGATCATATTAGCATTTGGGGAGTTATTCCCTTTATGTCCATTAGGGGCCCCTGTTGCAAAGCTTTTAATGCTAGTTAAATGGAGACTTTTCTTTTTAGAAGGAAGTGGATTGGAAGAGGGTTATTGTAAATGTAATGTAATCTACCTAAAACTTTCTTCAAACTGCACCATGAGATTTAAAACACCCATGTGTTTTCTTCAAGTTGATATAATAGCCATAAGATACACATTTTTGTCATAGTGCAAATGTATCTTGAACTAGGCCTATCTTAAGTATTGTCATGCAGTCCTAGAACCCTTGAAAATATACCAGTAATACATAAGGCACCAATGCTGATATTTACTTTTAAAGA